GTACTTTCCGTCGGTGTAGTGCTTTTCGCTCATGTAGTACTTTTCGCTGGGGTAGTACTTTCTTGTCAGTGTAGTACTTTTGCTGGGATAGTACTTTCTTCTGGTGCAGTACTTTTTGCCAGTATAGTACTCTTGGTCGGTGTAGTACTTTTTGGTCGGTGTAGTACTTTTGGTCGGTATAGTACTTTCTCCTAGCATAGTACTTTTCATGGACGCAGTACTTTGACTTCTAGATCTGGCCCAGGCTCAATTAATCTCTGGATCTGTGCTTTGATTTTAGATCACTGATCTTGATCTAGGAATCTGGGCAATATTACCGGGCTGTGTGGCAAAAGTATGTTCAATCTGGATGTGGCCCAACTTTCTGAGACCGGGATGGTGTCCTGGGGTGCTGGATAGGGGGTAGGAAAATGGGTAGGGGGTGGGGGTAGATGTGTAGCAGGCTGGTAGGGCGCTGTATACATGGATTGGGTGGGTTTTGGCTGGATTTTGGGTACTGGGGACGATACTGGGTGTGCTGGGGTAGTATTAGGTGTGATAAAAATCCGGGAAAATAAGGAAATAATAGTAGGGATGCTAGGGTAGGCCTAGCAGGTGCTGGTTTCTGGTTTGTTAGGGGGTTAGGGGGTGTTTAGGAGGTGTTTTGGTAACTTTGTGAGTTTTGTGATTTAGAACGAATGAATCACATTGCTGGGTGTCGTTTCAATGGAATCAGCGTATAAAACATAAATTGGCGAGGTGATTTCGCTGACACAAAGGAGCCCGATTTTGAGTGTTCTGACTATTTAACAAATATTCATAAATGTATAGGATGATGGAAATCAATTTTTGAAGGAATTGGTCCATTCGTTCCAAAGTTATAGCGTAAACGGTTAGAAAGATATTGCCACAGCGAGGTCATAGGGGGTCGGGAGGCCAGAACTTTGGATATAACAGTTCTATTTACTTGGCTTTTGCTGTCACAGGTAGACAAACATCAATATCCAACCATGGACACCACTCGGGGCCCAAAAACAGCGACCATGGCATTGGCAGCGGTGCGGCGTCTAGGGGGGGAGGAGGAGAACATCTACCCTTGGGGTATTACCATGGTTACAATGTTTGGTGGTGTTGAAGCAATAATTGGACAATATAGTTTGATGTCTGGGAAGTCGATCTACGGTGCAACATTGGTCAAAATTGTCCTGCACTAATTGTGGGGCGCTGAGGGTGTAAAACAGCGTATTGGGCCACAGTATAATCACAGAAACACCGATTCACGGGTTTTTGGCACCATTCTTTGTGTGGTAATTTAGTTTAAATGTATATAAACATTATTCAAGCACCAGAACCGCCGCTTCTGGATGGTGGAAGAAGAAAAACCATGTTTTTGATGGGGGAGCAGGTGCACATGTAGTATTGGGTGCGTATATGGTCCAGATCTCTCTCAAATGCAGTGCGATCATGGTGCGGTGTGGTACAGGGTCGTGATACATCATAGAAAATGTTTCTGGGTCATCCACCATGTCATACCTGGTCTGTGTGATACAATAAAAATGCAAAACATCGGTTTTGGGCTGTAAATGACCAATTTTACAGTGTGTTTGAATTTCTGAATATAATTGAGGGATTGGTGGACCAATCCCCGCTAGGGCTAAGCTCTATGTATCAAAAGGTAAACGTCCAAAAAAAATCCGAAGTGATCAGCTAGCCTACACCTCTCAAAGTGCTCATTACGCTGTTACTGACATTTGACTAGTTGCTTGGAAACTTGCAAACTTCAAACAAGCACATTGTGCACTTTGAGAGGTGTAGGCTAGCTGATCACTTCGGATTTTTTTTTGGACGTTTACCTTTTGATACATAGAGCTTAGCCCTAGCGGGGATTGGTCCACCAATCCCTCAATTATATTCAGAAATTCAAACACACTGTAAAATTGGTCATTTACAGCCCAAACCGATGTTTTGCATTTTTATTGTATCACACAGACCAGGTATGA